ATTCTGATACTGTTAAGTGGAGTATTCTATAAATATCCATTATGTCACGTTCATTTACAGTTTTGTTCAGGTCTTCTACATCCTTGTTAATTTTCCCTCTACTTGTACTACCTATTATGGAGAAAGAGGTGTTACCAGAGATTTGTCTATCTCTTCTCTCAGTTCTATCAGTTTTGTTTCACGTATTTTGAAGCTCTGTTCTAAGATGCGTATACATTTAGAATTTTGTCATCTTGGAAAATTGACTCCTTTGTCATTCTGTAATGTCTTCCATTATCCCTAGAAATATTCCTTATTCTCAAATCGACTTTGTCGGATATTAATACGGCACTGCAGTGTTTTTTATTACTGTCTACATGGAATATCTCTTTCCATCCTTTTACTTTTATCCTATCTGTGTCTTTATATTTAAAGTGGGCTTCTTGTAAAGCAAATAGTTGTGTTTTGCTTTTTTATCCAATCTGACAATCTCTGTCTTTTAATTGGTGTATTTAGACTGCTTACATTTAAGATAATAGTTGATACAATTGGATTAAAATCTATCATTTTGTTAGATGTTTTCTATTTGTTCCATCTGGTCTTCTTTCTTTTTTATTCTTGTTCTGTCTTCCTTTGGATTAATTGAGTACATTTTGTGACTCTATTTTATCTCCACTATTGGCTTATAATTTATACCTTTAAAAAATTTTTTACTTGTTATCCTAGGTTTTACAATATATATCTTTAATTAATCAAAGTCTACCTTAAAATAATATTATGATGCATCGAACATAGTATAAGGACCTTACAGCAGTATACTGCTCATCCTTGCCTCTCATCTTTTGTAGTGTTGTCCTCATACATTTTACTTCTACATATGCTATAAACATACAATACGTTGCTACTATTTTGCTTTAAATCAGATGTTGGAAAACTATAGTCCATGGGCCAAATCTAGCCTGCCACCTGTTTTTGTAAATAAGGTATTATTGGAACACAGTTACGCTCCATGGTTTATGGATATTCTATGGCTGCTTTTACTCTACAGTGGCAGAGTTTAGTAGTTGCCAAATAGACTTTATGACCCACAAAGCCTAAAATATTTACTATCTGGCTCTGTAAACAGAAAAAGTTTGCCAATGTCTGCTTTAGACAGTGCATTATCTTTTCCAGCAATTAAAAGTAAGATAAAACTTTTTTTTTTTTTAAACAAGAAACAAAGTCTTTCATTTTTTTTTTTTTTTTCTGGGAAAGATTCCCTGAGCTAACATCTGTTGCCAGTATTCCTCTATCTGAGCCTCTGCCACAGTGTGGCTACCAACAGACGAGTGATGTGGTTCCATACGCGGGAACTGGGCCTTTGCCAAAGCAGAGTGTGCTGAACTATAAGCGCTAGGCCATCAGGGCTGGCTCAAGATAAAACTATTTTTTATATTTACCTTTATTCATGCCATTTCCAGCACTCTTTATTTTGTGTATATGTCCAAGATCTGTCTGGCTTTATATTCTTCTTGCCTGAAGAGCTTCCCTTAACGTTTTGTGTGTGTGTGTGGTGCTGGTCTGCTAGCAATGAATTCTCTCAGTTTTTGTTTTTCTAAGAAAGTGTATCCCTTCTTCTCTTTTTTTTCAATTGAGGTAAAATTCACATAACATGAATTTAAACATCAACCATTTTAAAGTGTACAATTTGGTGACGTTTAGTACATTCACAATGTTGTGCAACCATCACCTCTATCTCGTTCCAAGACATTTTCGTCACTCCAAAAGGAAACATGGTACCCATTAAGCAGTTGCTCCACATTCCGCCCTCGCCCAGCCCCTGGCAACCTCAAGTCTGCTTTCTGCCTCTATGGATTAACCTATTCTGGATGTTTCATATAAATATAGTCATACAATAGATGTATTTCGTGTCTGGCTTCTTCCACTTAGTGTAATGTTTTCAGTGTTCATCCACATTGTGACATGTAGCAATACTTCACTCCTTTTTATGGCTGAATAATACTCCATTGAATGAATATACCACATTTTGTCTACCTGTTCATCAACTGTTGCCACCTTTTGGTTATTGCAAATAGTGCTACATTGAACATTCATATGCAAGTATTTGTTTGAGTCTCTGTTTTCAATTCTTTTGGATATACCTAAGAGTGGCATCACTGGGTCATATGGTAATTCTGTGTTTAATTTTTGAGGAACTATCAAACTGATTACGACAGCAGCTGCACCATTTTACATTCTCACCAGCAATGTACAAGCGTTCCAATTTCTTCACATCCTCATTAATACCTGTTACTTTGATTTTTTTATTATGGCTAACCTGGTTGGTGTGAGGTGGTATCTCATTGTGGTTTTGATTTGCATTTCCCTAATGACTAACAATATTGAGCATCTTTTCATGTACTTGTTGGTCATTTGTATATCTTCCTTGGAGAAATATCTTCAACTTTTTTGCTCATTTTTAAATTGAGTCATTCATTGTCTTTTTGTTGTTGAATTATAGGAGTTTTATATAAATATATTCTTGATACCTAATCCTTATATATATGATTTGCAAATATTTTCTCCCATTCTGTGTGTTGCCTTTTTATTCCCTTGATACTGTCCTTGGATGCACCAAAATATTTAATTTTGATGAAGTCCAATTTGTGTATTTTTTTCTTTGGTTGCTTGTGCTTTTGGTGACATATCTAAGAAATTGTTTCCAAGTCCAGATCATGAATATTTATCCCTATGCTTTCTTTTAAAAAGAGTTTTGTAGTTTTAGTCTTTATATTCAGGTCTTTGATCCCCTTTGAGTTAATTTTTGTATATGGTGTGACGTAAGGGTCCAGCTTCATTCTTCTGGGTGTGGATATCCAATTCTTTTAACACCATTTGTTGAAAAGACTGTTCTCTCCCCATTGAATGTCTTGGCACTCATGTTGAAAATCAATTGACCATAGACGTGAAGGTTTATTTCTGAACTCTCAATTTTATTCTGTTGATCCATATCTCTCTCCTTATGCCAATACCACACTGTTTTGACTTCTGTAGATTTGTAGTAAGTTTTGAAATTGGGAAATGTGACTCCAACTTTGTTATTTTTCAAAATTGATTTGGCTGTCTGGGGTCTCTTGAAATTCCATATGAATTTGAGAATCAGCTTTTCCATTTCTGCAGAAAAAGGCAACTGGGATTTGATAGGGACTGCCATGAATCTGTAGATTACTTTGGGGAGTATTGCCATCTTTACAATATTAAATCCTTCAATCCATGAACACAAGATGTCTTTCCATTTATTTAGTCTTCTTAATTTCTTTCAACAATGTGTTGTGGTTTTCAGTGTATACGTCTTGCATCTCCTTAGCTAAATTTATTGCCAAGTATTTTGTTTGTTTTGATGCTATTGAAAATAAAGTTGTTTTTTAAATTTCTTTTTTGGATTGTTCACTGCTGGTGTATAGAAATAAGTTGAGTTTTGTGTGTTGATCCTGTATCCTGCAACTTTGCTTAATTCATTTATTAGCTCCAATAGGTTTTTTTAAATAGATTCTTTAGGATTTATCTGTATATAGGATCATATGATAAATAGAGATAGTTTTGCTTCTTCCTTTTTAATTTAGATGACTTTTACTTATTTTTCTTTGTGATTACTCTGACTAGAATCTCCAGTACAATGTGGAATAGAAATGGTGAGAGCAAATATCCTTGTCTTGTTCCTGATCTAAGCGTGGAAAACTTTCAGTCTTTTGCCATTGAGTTAGCTGTGGTGTTTTCATATCTGCCCTAAACCGTGTTGACAATGTTCCCTTTTATTCCTAGTCTATTGGGTGTTTTATCATGAAAGGGTGTTAGATTTTGTCAAAGGCTTTAAACTGACATTAATTTCATCGATTGAGATGATCATGTGGGATTTTTTTCGTTGTTCTATTAATGTGGTGTATTAGATCGATTTTCATGTGTTGAACCATCTTTGCATTTCTGGGATAAATCTCACTTGGTCATGGTGTATAATCATTTTAACATATTGTTGTATGCGATTTGCTAGTATTTTGTTGAGGATTTTTGATGTATATGATAAGGGATACTGGTCTGTAGTTTTCTTTCCTTGTGATATTCTTGTCTGGCATTGGTATCAAGGTAATGCTGGCCTCACAGAATGAGTTGACAAGTATTCCTCCATCTTCTGTTTTTTGAATGAGTTTGAGAAGGATTGGAGTTAATTCTTCTTCAAATGTTCAGTAGAACTCACCAGTGAAGCTATCTGGTCCTTTGTCAGGAGGTTTTTAATTACTGACTCAACGTCTTTGCTAGTTATACATCTATTTAGATTTTCTATTTCTTCTTGAGTCAGTTTTGGTTGATATTCATGAATACTAAAGGTTCAAACACTCAAATGTATATATTATATCTACCTGAGTACATGGAAAGAATAACTATTTTCTTGGATCAATTTTTAATTTCAAGAAGTAACTTTACAATCATGTTAATAGAAATAAGAAGGAAAATACTAAGAGAATCAACTAAAAAGGGTAAAAGCAATTGCCTCCAGGAAAGGAGGCAGAGGAGTGCTATTTTTCTTAAGAAATACAGTGGCACAATTAGACTCTTTGTAAAAGTAAATAAATAAACACACTTACTTAATCCACGAAAAGGCAGTTCTACAACCAACCTGCCCAGATCCAAATCCCACCTCCACCATTTGGTGGCCGTGTAACCGTGGGCAAGTTTAATGTGATTTCTCTGAACCTCAGTTTTCCCATCTGTGAAATGGGAATGATAACAGTACCTACCACACAAAATTTTTGTGGGAACCAAAGGAGATAGTGAATGCAAAGGGCTTGGCTGGTGAGCGTCCTGTAAATAGAAGCTCTTGTTGCTATTATCAGGCTCTCCCAGACCAGTCTGACTCCCTTTTCAGCATAGCCAGAGCCACCTGGCTGCTCTGGAGACCCCATTTGTGCTACTGAGTGACTGACTGTCCAATGTTGGGCCTGTCTCTTCTCCCAGGGCCCCTCGGAGGCGGCTGCAGAAGGCCCCCAAACTTAGGCAGCTCCCCAGCTCAGGCTGGCCCTGCCCCAGACTCCAACCCCTCCCTCTGGGGGTCATGGCTTTGTTTTCTTCTAAAGACCCAAGATTTCCAAACTCTGTGGTTGCCTTGCCTAGCTAAAAGGGGAAGAAGGGGATCAGCCCAAGGAGGAGGAGGAAGAGGAAAACAAGACAAACAGCCAGTGCAGTGGAGAGGAACGTGTGTCCAGCGGTCCTGGTCCCCGCAGAGCCGGCCGCTGGGAGCCCAGAGCCCTGAGCAACCCCCAGCCCTGCATCAGGCTGCTGCCTCCCCACTGAGGCCATGGGTCCAGGGGCTCTTCTGGTCCTGCTGCTGGCCACAACTTGGCATGGTAAGAGCAGAACTGGGGGTTTGGCGGGTAGGGAGTTGGGGGGTGGGAGATGTAACAGAGACGACCCCTGTGGAAGGACTCTGTGAACCCCCACCCCTCATTGGGTGTCCCTACTTTGTGGTTCCATTTCCCCAGCCTGGACTGCAAGTTTGTAGGTATCTGCTTTGGAGAGGTAATGGAAAAGAGGGTGTGGGCGGGGTGGAAACAGCCCGGCCAGGGCTGCGGATCTGTCCCAGCTCAGATGTCGACTCACTGTGTGTCCTGGACAAGTCCCTGATGCTCCCAGGGCTTCAGTGTCCACATCTATTCAATGGCAGGTGTTGGGGGCGGTGATGGACTAGACCAAAGCAATGCTTTTCAAACTTTACTGTGCATGCAAATTATGGGGATCTTGTTACAATGCAGATTCTGACTCAGTGGGTCTCAGGTGCAACCTGAGGTTCTGCATTTCTAACAAGCTCCTAGGAGATGCCAGTGCTGCTGGTCCAGATGTACACTGAATAGGGAGGCCCTAGAGAGCCCCTGATGGCTGTACCAGCTCTGCCAGCCCGTAGCTCGCTGATTGTAGGAAGGGCCTGACTTGGAAAGGCCTTGGAAAACGGGCAGTGGTCCTTCCTTGGGAGTCTTGAGTAGGGATAGGAAGAAGAGATGGGAGGTTAGCTTCTCTAGCCCTGGCAGAGAAGAGAGTATAGGGCTAGAGGCAGACCTAGGGGGAGGATGGCAGGGGTCTCCCGGGCCAGAGCCCTCTCAGATACAGGCTGCCAGGCCTCAGGACAGGGAGCTGTGTGGCAGATTTTACCGTTAACTCCATCCCTCCGGCAGCAGCAGTGATGCAGAATCTCCATCTAGGAGGATGTCTACTGGAGACGAGGGGCTAGGTGCTTGGCTTGTAGCTATGGCTGGCCCAATAAACATGCGTTATATCTTATCACATGCTTATTTGGAGGGACGATGGTGTTGGGGGTGGGGTGGGAAGGCAGCATTAGCTCTGGGGCTGCAGGGCCAAGGGTAATAGGTGCGTCTGGTCCTTGATGACGAAATGGCCCACTAAAGGTCTTTTTCTGGCCCAGTCAATCCCACTGGGCTTGAGTGTCTGTTCTTTTTTATTGAGATGTAATTTACCTCCAGTAGAAAGCGTAGATTCTTAAGTGTACATTTGATGAGGTTTGTCAAGTGTATATGCTTGTGTACCCACCATCCAAATTAAGATAGAGACTATTGCCTTCACCCCAGAAAGTTCCATGGGTTTTATTTCACTGCCTTGTCCTGTCCTCATGCCCAGAACCCGCCTGCGGGGCATTGTTGGGGGCCGTGGTGTCCAGCATCCAGCCCCAGGGGAAAGAAGAGATGGGGGACAGCAGGCTGGAAACCTAAGCTTTCAGCCCAACAGTAGAGGAGAGGCTCGCTTCTCCCCATCACTGCGACAGATCGTGGGCTGAGGACAGGCTGCGTCCCAGGCCTTGGTGTGCGGTGCGGTGCGGTGCGGTGTGGTGCGTGTGTTGAGGGAGAGGAGTGGAGGTTGCGGCACATCCCAGAGCTGGTGATGGTGGGGTCTGCTAGGGAAGTGGGACAGGGTGGGCAGGTTTGGGGCAGGGGGAGAATTGGGAAGCTGAGATGAGAGGGTAAAGACTGGGCAGGAGCAGAAGGGAGCCCTGGTCAGCGCTCACCAAGCCCCAGCCTCCTCCCGGGAGGATGCGGCCTGAGCAGGCTTTCCCTTCCCGCCAGCCAAGCCAGCAGGGAGAAGTTGGGGGCGGAAGTTGAGGATGTCCTTCATGAATACCCGGGACAAGAGGACAGGACAAAACAGGACAGACGCCTCTCTCTGACCACATTTCCAGGAGACCAGGGCAGGCGCTGGAGGGACGGGGCAGGGGGTGGGGGTGGAGCAGGCGCCTGTGAGACCAGCGGGCGCAGAAGCGGAACACGGTGGCGTCACAGAATCCGAGGCCGCGGGTGTTACAGTCACAGACCGTGACCTTTAAAGAGCAGAAGCTTTGGATATCAGGGTGCCAGCACCAGAAGGGGGGTTAGAAATGCAGCAGTTGAAGCAGGAGCCCAGGGCAGGAGCAGCTGGCTGAGCCGGGGGCTGTGTGTCCCCTCATTGAACCCTCCCAAGACTTCTCAGAGGTGGGACTTGGATTATTCCCACTGGATGGAAGAGTAGCCTGAGGGTCAGGGAGGTTAAGCAACCTACCCAGCGAGTCAGGGAGAACGAGGTTTCAGACCCATGTCGATGTGACCCTGCAGTCAGAGCTCTTCCCTGCCGTAACCCCCAGCCTGGCCCCTGCGTTGCCGCAGCTGTAATAGGGCAGCACCAGCTCGGGTGGGGTTTGCCGGCAGCCTGCCAGAAACGACGCTTGCCCTCTCCCCGGTGGTCACGGGCGCAGGGGGGCTGCGACCCCCAGGTGTTGGCCGTGGCAGTGTTCGCCAGTTCACTCAGTCCTTTGTGCCAATCAGAAGCTCGGGCAGACAGGCTGCACACCTCTGACGGGTACAGAATCAAAACATAAATTAAACCCTCCAGAAGTCATTTGACAGAGATGATCTTTCCAATTCTGGGGTCTCTGTGGGGGTTGGGGGGTGGAAATACCTGTTTAAAGAGCTTTTGTGCAGGATGATGGAGAAGCCCCAAACTCCCCCAGTGCCCTTGGGGTTGGAATGTCCATGTTCCTTCAGTGGCCCAGTAGGTGGCACTGTCTCTTCGGGGGAGAGGGGACAGTGGCCAGGAGGGCCAGGAAGCAGAAGTGAGAGCATCCCTGGAGAAGGGCCGCAGGCTGAGCGGAAACCGGGGCCAGGCCGGGTGCCAGCAATGTGTTTCCTCCCGCGCAGGCCGGGGGGCACCTGGCAGCCCCCCAAGGCGTTGAATCAGCTCTCACTTCCCCCCTTTGCCCTATTTTGGGCCCTGGAAAAATGCTGACACTGCAGAGGCAACGGGCCTTCTTCCCGGAGGGCCCGATACGGGTTTCAAGTTCTCTTTTCTCCTTCAGGAAAATTTTCCTTAAAAGAGATTGGCTCCCCTTAAAACACAGCAGTGCTGGGGTGTCTGGGTGAGCTGCTGGGGGTAGACTAGATAATAATATAATGACTAACCCTTACTGAGTATTTATTTAGTGACAGGTGATGTTATAAAGGCTTTCCATGCATTTAAATCTCCAGACATCCCAATAAATGGGTACAATTATTGTCCCCATATTGGGGAAACTGAGGCACAGAGCCTCTGAACCACCCTACCGTGCTATAGACCAGACATGCAATGGTGGGAGTGGGCACAACAGACGACTCTCAGAGCCTTTCTAGTTCTGCTGGGCTAGGTTCCTACACCCCTCTCCTTCTTCCCCCTGTGAATTGAGTTGGAGGACTTTGCTGTGACCATTCTAGTCATTTTGTTCTTCCTTTGCTTGTTGGAGCCCCTTGCTCTGAGCCAGGCCCTGGGCTCAGTGACAGGGATGTAGCCCACTTGGGACCTGGGGCTGAAGGAGTCCACTCCTAGGGAGACTGATGCAGTCACAGCTGGGGAGACTGAGGCAGGAGGCTGGGGAGCCCCCGTGGGACAGCAGCTGGGTGGGAGGCCGAGAAAGGTGCCAGCCCCCCTTTCTCAGAGGAGGGGCCTGCTGGACATCAGAGACATCGTCCATCCCCCAGCAGGTTTGGGTGTGTGGGGCTGAGCAAATGACCAGAGAGGGGCAGAGACTTGTTCAGGGTGATCCTGCAAGTCACTGCTGAACCCCAGCACCAGCACCACCCCGCCAGGGCACCACCCATCTCAGAGGCAGGGAATGGCCCGGGCGGGTCGCCTCAGGCCTCTCTTCTGTCTGCTGCCCCCCATCACCAGGTCAGGGGGTTCCGGTGATCGAGCCCAGTGGCCGAGAGCTGGTTGTGGAGCCAGGCACAACGGTGACCCTGCGATGTGTGGGCAATGGCAGCGTGGAATGGGACGGCCCCATCTCCCCCCACTGGACTCTGGACCCTGATGCCCCCAGCAGCATCCTGACCACGACTAATGCCACCTTCCAAAACACGGGGACCTATCGCTGCACTGAGCCTGGAGACCCCCTGGGGGGCAGCGCCGCCATCCACCTCTACGTCAAAGGTAAGAACTCTGAGCCCACTCCCCAAAGGCCTGGCCCAGCAGGGCCATTGTTAATACTAACAATCATAATAAACCAGCTCTACATTTGCTGAGTGCCTGCCATGAAAAAGGACCTGTGGCAGTACTTCTAATTTACTGTAGTCTTTACAATAACCCTGTGAGGTAGGTTCTATGATTATGCCCATAGGCTCAGAGAGGTTGAGTCATTTGCCCAAGTCACACAGCATCAAGTAGCTGGACTGGACCTGGCTCCAGAGCCCCAAGCATCAGCTGAGCTTCCCTAGTATTATGTGACCTCAGGCAAATGATCAGTATCTCTGAGCCTCCCTGTCACCCAAGTCCAGGGACTGCTTGGCCTGGTGGAGCGAGGGCAGTTGTAACCCCGTATCCTCCTCTATCCCAGACCCTGTTCAGCCCTGGAAGGTTCTGGCCCAGGAAGTGACAGTGTTGGAGGGTCAGGATGCGCTGCTGCCCTGCCTGCTCACCGACCCGGCGCTGGAGGCGGGTGTCTCGCTGGTGCGGTTGCGTGGCCGGCCTGTCTTGCGCCAAACCAACTACTCCTTCTCCCTCTGGCACGGCTTCACCATCCACAAGGCCAAGTTCATTGAGAGCCAGCACTACCAATGCAGTGCTCGGGTAGACGGCAGGATGGTGACATCCATCAGCATCCAGCTTAAAGTGCAGAAAGGTGTGTGGGGCAGGGAGGGACAAGCCAGTGGAGGGCGGGGACAGAGAGCTGGCAGCCACATGAGTGGTGGCTGGGGCCCGGGCCTGATGGGAGGTAACGGGGTGTCCCCCTTCTTTCATTTCTTCCTTCTGATGGCGTCACAGTCAACTCTGGGGCACTTACTGGGGCAAGACAAACAGGGTGTGCTGGGCACAGGGAGACATGCAAGTCAATACCTCAGTGGGCGAGATCATCTCAGATCACGAGACACTCAAAAAAAATCGTTAAACAAGGGGATGGAAGAGAGAGTGTGTGGGGGCGTGGGAGGGGAGCCTCGCTGAGAGAGCGACATTTTATTTGAGCTGAAATGTGAATGAAGAGAAGGAGGTGGCCGTGCAAAGATCTGCTTCAGCAGAAGAAACAGCAGGTACAAAGGCACGAGGTGGGCACAGGCTGCGAATGTTCCAGGAGCAGAAGGAGGGCTCGAGGCGCTCCCACACCCTCGGACGTGGACGCCCCACTCAGTGCCAGCCTGGTGCTGGGTGCCAGGCCCATGACGGAGGGCTGGGGAACCAAGTGACGGGGAAGTGGTGGTGGGCGTGTGGGGCAGCTCTCACTGCGGGAGGCGACAATGGCGGTGAAGTCTCACACCTTTCCCTCCCTTGCCTCTGCTGGGCTGGTGGCCAGGAGTCTGATTTCTGGAAGGGCTGGTGTGACTAAGCAACGCCCCAGGCTCAGGACTTGGCTTTGAGCCAGGAATCGGGTCCTTGTAATGAGGGCCAGGTCAGGGAGGCATGGCTGGCCCAAGGCCCGGGCTCTGAGGCCACTAACCCTGTCCTGAAAGTCAAGGGACCCCACCACGCAGGTGGAGAAGGCCATAAGTGCTCTTTCCCCACATGTCATCTTGCAGAGCCACGGCTGGCTGGGAGCCAAGAGCCCCGGGTCCTAGTTCTGCCATGACCCTCTTGGTGACCTCAAGTGGGTTCTGCAGCATCTCTGGACCTTGAAAAACTAGATTAGATCATCTCTCAACAACAGCAACAGCCACAAATATTAATTCAATGCCTACCGTGTGTCAGGCACTAGGCTGGCTGCTGGGGTTAGCGCCTTCATGGAGTTGCAGTTACGGGGAGACAGACTAGAGAGAAAATAAATAACATACCAATCATGATGAACAAGAAACCAAGCCAGAGAAAGCTGGATGTGTGAGGGGGTGAGGCTAATTCAGCTAAACTGGTGAGAGAAGGCCTCTCTGAGGAATGTCTGAGCTAAGGATGTGAAGGACGAGAACAGGCGCTCATTCAAAGTGTGGGACAGAAGCATTCCAGGAGGGAAGGGCGAGTGCAGGGCTCTGCGGGGGGAAAGAAGGCCGATGTGGCTGCAGTGCGCTGAGCAGAGGGTGGCAGGCGGTCTGGGGTCAGGAACAGGGCCTGGGGATGTGGGAAGGACTTTGGCTTGTATCCTAAGAGTGACGGGAAGCCACCAAATATTGGCCCAGGAGAGAGGCATGATCCACTCTACATTCTTAAGAGCTCACTTTGGCTGCTGTGTGGAGTCTGGGTTGTGGAGGAGTGGGAGGGGGAGCAGGGAGGCCTCCTGGGTGGCTGTTGCAGGAGTCCAGAGCAGAGAATGGTGATGAGACTGGGGAAAGGGGGTGGTGATGGAGGGAAGTGGATTTTCAAGGTCTATTTAGGAGATAGGACTTGCCAGGGGGAAAATTGAGGCATCAAGGCTGCCTCCCAGGATTTGGGATGGTAGCATGGTGGGGGCCCTGGTCAGTAGCCAGGCCCAGGGCAAGAAGCAGAGCGACAGCCTGGGTGTTCATGGGTCCCTTCCCCTGGCCTCAGTTGTCTCAGGGCCCCCAACCTTGACACTGAAGCCTGCAGAGCTGGTGCGGATTCGAGGAGAGGCTGCCCAGATCATGTGCTCAGCCAGCGACGTTGATGTCAACTTTGATGTCTTCCTCCAACACAGAGACACCAAGGTCAGTCCTGAGGAGACAGCAAGGTGAAGTCTGCCCATCCTCCCAGCACACCAGGCCCTGCAGGATGGAGCCCCCAGCCCCACCACAAGCCAGCTCTCTCGGCTGAGAGCATGGCCCCGATCCAGAGAGGGGAGTGGACTCACCCAAGATTTCACTGCCAGGACTCACGCTCATGCCACTGACCCATGACCTTTTCTCCAGGCTATGGACAAGAACCACACGTCAGCTCACTTCTGACTTCGCAAGGGGTTCCCGGGCCACCTTTGAAGCCCAGGGATATTAGGGCTATTTCAGAAAGACTTTGGGAGAGAGGGAGGAAGAGAAAGTATTTCCAGGAGGGAATGGCATTAGGCTGCTTCTAAGAACCCCCTCCCCTCCCACTGTGCCTGCTGTGTGCCAGGCACAGCCCTATGCCCTTTGCATGCAATCTCATTTACTCCCCACTAGAGCCCTAGGAGCACAAGCCCAGTATTAGTCCCATTTTACAGATGAAGAAACTGAGGCTCAGAGTTCAGTCCCTTGTCCAAGGAAAGGCAGATAATAATCCTTAAAGGCTGAGGATTTGAACCCAGATCTTTCTAATCCCTAAACAACCTTAGTATAATATTTCCTTTCCTTCTGGCTACAGCTCACAATCTCTCAACAATCTGACTTCCGCGATAACCGTTACCAAAAAGTCCTGATCCTCAACCTCGAGCACGTGGGCTTCCAAGACGCTGGCAACTACTCCTGTGTGGCCACCAATGCCCAAGGCGTCCGCTCCACCTCCATGGTCTTCCGGGTGGTAGGTGAGTATCAGGGTGGTGGGGGAGGGTTGGCAGGGAGCCTACGGTGAGGGAGGTGCATACCAGGATTGAGAAGGACGGGGCTAATGGCAAAGAAGGAGACACTGTTAAGAGCATCTTCACTAGAATCCCTTTATCCTGGGCCTGGCTAGGGAGCCACATCCGTGGGAGCCTCCCCGGATCCTCCCCCAGAACCCCTTTCTCTCTCCATGGAGCTCCTACAGTGCATTGCTGCATTTCAGTTTAGCATCATTTTGTGCTGTTTTGGGATTGGTGTCTAGTAGGGAGCCACTGGACTTCACTATTCACTCATTCATTCATTCCTTCATGCCTGGGACACTTGTGTCACATCGACATGTGAACAGACAATGCTCACCCCAGTGTGATCATAGGGAAAGAGTGGGGTGTCCTGGGAACACTGAGGGGGTCCCCCAACCCAGGCTTGGACACAGGGGCATCTAAACTGGGGCAAGAAGAATGAAGGTGGGTTAGCCAGGCAGAGTGGTGGGAAAGGAAGGGGAACAGCACTTTTGGCAGAGGGAACAGCATATGCAAAGCCAAAGGCAAAGACAATTTAAGACGTAGAAAGAAGTTGACAACAGCAGAGATGTGCATTGGTGTGATGAGTGGCTGTGGGGAGCAGAGATGGAGGCAGAGTCCAGATGGTAAAGGAGCTTTAAAGTGGATGGGTAGTTTGGGTCGCATCCTATTGGGCAGTCATTGAAGGTTTTAGAGAGGAGAGTAATGGGATCAGATTGCACAGAGTGGGTGCTGTGTGGTGGTCAGGAGCCCACACTCCCAGGCGGCATTCCAACCTGCCTCCACCAATCACTAGCAGGTTGCATAACCTCTCTGTGCCTCCGTTTCCCCATCTGCAAAATGGGGATACTAACAGGAACTGCCTTGTAGGTTTGTTGTGAGAATTAAATGAGCATATATACATATGAAGTACTTAGAACAGGGCCTGGCAGGGAGCAAATGCTGTCTAAGTTGCACGAGGAGATGTAATCTGAGAAGGCTCAGCCCGATGCCCCGTGGGTTGGATGGGAGACTGGAGGCTGGGGACCCATCAAGGCAGTTAATACAGTGGTCCAGGCTGGAGGTGGTGGAGGGCACTGGACCATAGTGGGGGCCTGGAAGAGTCTGTTATCCAAAACCATTTAGGAGGGACGATGGACAAGAAGACTTGGTGGCTGCTGGGATGAAGGGGTGAAGGAGAGAGGAGCCCAGAGGACTGCAGGTCTCCGGCTAGAGTGACCGGGTGGGAGGAGGTGGCCATCACTGGGCTGGGAATCCAGAAGCAGAGAGGAGTTCCTTCAGGGTGGGGACAGGCTCTGAGTCATTTTGGTTGCCACGCCTCACCTCATGTGTTAATTGTTAGGAGAGACAGAGCGGAGGGGGAGGGAGAAGCATGAGAGGCACCATCCTTACAGCACAAGCAATACACTGGACTTGCAGTCGAATGTGAGCTCTGCTGGGAGCTTTGGCAGGTAGAGGAGGAGAGGAGCACATTTAACCATCCCTCGGGTATGGGTTCTAATCCTGTCTGTTTTCTAGCGCAGGCACACAGTAGTCACTCAATAAATGTTTGTGTGCCTTCACACTTCTGGCCACACACTGTTCCAGAGGCTGAGAATACAGCTGCAAATGAAACACAGACAAAAGCCCTGCCCACATGAAGTTTGTGCTCTGGTTGGGAGAAGACAAGTAATGAGCAAAATAAATTATGAAAAACAAATCAGTTCTATAGGGCTTGTGGTTTAAAATGGGGTGATCATCAAGGAGGATTTCACTGGAAAGCTGACATTCGAGCAAAGACTTGGAGTTGGTGAAGGAGTAAGCCATGCAGATATCTTGGAGGCAGGCAGAGGGCAAGAAATGTTCTTAAGGCAGGACCGTGCTTGCCACATGCGAGAAGCAAGTCAGCCAGTGTGGCTGGGGTGGAGCGTGAGAGGAAGAGTGTACAAGATGGTCAGAGAGGTGGAGAGGGAGGGCCCTGTAGGACAGTGTAAGCACCTGGGCTTTTGCTCTTGAGAGAGATGGGGTGCCATTGGAGGGTTTGAGCAAGGGAGTGACACAATATGTCTTGGAAGTAACAAGCATTTCTGGTGCTTTGTTGAGGGCTCTTTGTAGGGAGACAAAGATAGAAGCACAGGGACGAGTTAGGAGGCTACTGCAATAGCCCAAGCTAGAGGGGATGGCGGCTTGATTAGAGTGGTAATGGAGGAGGTGGTGGGAAGTGGTTGGAGTTTGGATGGGGGGATGTGTGGATAGGTAGATGGATGGCTAGGGAGGAGAGAGAGAAGAAGACAAAAGCTTTGCCCTAAAAGCTCACAAACTAGTTGGAGGGAGAGGACAGCTATCTGAACGGAGAACCAGATGCATAAAGTAGTGTAGATGTGGTGCCTAATGAATGTGTAATCTAGAAGGGCAACAGAGGGCCGGCCCTGTGGTTTAGCGGTTAAGTGCGCGTGCTCTGCTGCTGGCAGCCCGGGTTCGGATCCCAGGCTCGCACCGACGCACCGCTTCTCCGGCCATGCTGAGGCCGCGTCCCACATACAGCAACTAGAGGGAAGTGCATCTATGACATACAACTATCTACTAGGGGTTTTGGGGGAAAAAATTAAATTAAATTAGAAGGGCAACAGAGTCCAGAGGAAGGAGAGCTCCATGTGGCCTCGAGTTGTGGGTGGAGACTCCCTGATGGTGCTGAATCTTAAAGAATGGGAAGGATCTAAATGGAAGAAAAGGAGAAGATGGCAATCCTGGAGGAGGAAATGGCTTGAGCACAATGTCTAAGGTTGGAATGACTGTGGTATGTTCAGGGGACATTAGGAGACCCAGATGGGTGGAGCGTTAAGTGTGTGTGTGTGTGTGTGTGTGTGTGTGTGTGTGTGTAGAAAAAGGGGAGAAGGCTAGATGGGCAAAGGGAGACTTAATAGAGGAGATCCTTAAATGTCAGTCTGGATAGTGGAGGCAATGGGGAGCCATAGGAGGCTTTTGAGCAGCCATATCATAGGGCAGAACAGGGAATTTTAGATTTCACAGAATTGAGTACGGAAAGGAGCCCTTAGAGATCATCTAGTCAAGGGCTTTTTGCAAAACCTTGGGGTTTTAAAAAGGCATGTCAGGGGCTTCCATGAGAGGCCTGGAGAAGCTGGGTGAATGGGCATTCTTACCACAACTCCTTTGCCTGAGATTCATCCAGAGCAGCTTGATTTTCATTCATGCAAGATTTAGGTGGAAGAAACCAGTCAGGACTCTTTCAGCTACAGGTAACAGAAACCAACTCAAACTGGCCTAATCAAAAGAGGATTTTATTGACCTTATAGCTAAAAAGCCCATAGCTATGAGCTTCAGGTACAGTTGGAAATAGGTGTTCAGATGAAGTGGACAAGAATCAGTGACTTCTCAGCTCTCAGCTCTATATTTTTCTTGTGGGACCCCTAGCAGCACCAGGCTTGGCAACCCCAGTGGAATGAGTGCTTCTCTTTTCCCAGAGTTCCAACAAAAATCGTGGAAATCAGTGTCATGAACTCATGGACTCACATGCTTATCCCAAATGAATCACTGGTCCAAAGGGAAGAGATTACCCTGATTGGCTGGCCTGGGTCACGTGCCTACTTTGGAGTTGGATGTGGAAGCTGCATTGACTGAACTTTTACCAGAAGAAGGGGAAATGGGTGGAAGCATGTGAAAAAAACAACACACTGTTTTTTTTACCGCTAAAAAAATTTTCAAAAAGTATAACATCACGGATATATTCAGCCTCTTCATTATGCAACTAAGGAGGTGGAGGCATCAAGGAGGATAGGAATTTGCCCAAGTGCTCCTGGGGACTCAGTGAGGAGAAGAGCTTGGAGCCCTGTGCTTCTGTCGTGGGTGCTGGAAGAGAGCGGTCAGAGGGCAGGTCTTGGTTAGGGGTGGGGACTGTGCCCCTGGCACATGGTAGGAACCCAGGGAGGGTCCAGCTGAATGACTGGGTTGATGTAGATGACCAAATGAACCAACCAACCAAGAGCTTTTCCCATTAAGGCCAGATCTCTGTGTGTTCTGCTTTCCAGAGCGTGCCTACTTGAACTTGACCTCTGAGCAGAACCTCCTCCAGGAGGTGACCGTGGGTGAGAAGCTCAACCTCCAAGTCAAAGTGGAGGCCTACCCGGGCCTAGAAGGTTTTAACTGGACCTATCAGGGACCCTTCTCTGACCACCAGCCCAAGCTCAATTTTGTCACTATCAAGGACACATACAGGTACCACCAATCAGCTCCCATCTGCACAGCGCCACAGCCAGATGGGGAATGCTCCAGCCAGGAGTCAGGACCCTCAGGCCACGTCTCAACCTTGCTGTGTGACCTGGAGCGAGTCCCTTCCCCTTTCTGGTCTCACTTTCTCTGACTGTGTAGAACCTCAATGTCAGTCATCTGTGTTTGAGATTTAGATCAAATTTGCATACCTGTCTATCTACATCTTTGGGAAATCCAATGCCCTTCTCAAGAATTCTACCATTTCTTGGGGGTGTGCATTCTCACGGTCATCCCAGAACTCTCAGTCTCCTATATTCCCATCTTTCATGGCTAATCCAAATGCAGAAGACAATCCCAGTGATTTCCACTCCTAGACACACTCTTTATAACGATCGCACAGGGCATCTGCCACATACACAGGTTTGGGGGAAGAGAGAATTAACATCACCCAATACAGATACATCAAAAGCTCTTCAAAGGCCTGTGGTCACCCACCCCTGAGAATTTCTCACTGGCCACTCTTCCCATAAAGGTTCAAAACTCTTCTTGTAAAGTGCTGTCTGACTCTATATCCTCTCTTCTCCCATCTCTCCACTCCCAGAATCCTGCTCATCCCACATGCATGATATTTCAGAAACCTTTTTTTCCTGTCTCCTTATGAACTATGTCCTTAGGGTTTTACTCTTCCGTGCAAAGTTGCCTAACCAGGTAGTTGTCTAAATTACGGTTTCCTCTGTGAGAGGAACGTGGGTACCTCTTTAATAATAAGAGAGGTTAAAATAACAGTTTCTTTACCCTGTCCTATGAGAGAGTACATCTTGATCAAGGACAGCAAACTTGTGATGTGTGTGATAATTTCCCTCCCACACTTGTGACAGATATCCCCAAGCCACTTTCCTGCAGAGTCTAGATGCAGCCTCAGAGTCCTTCTCAACACAGTCTCCAGGCAGTACTTCCATCATTACTGGCTCATGGGAGATCTGTTTGCCATCCCCAGGATAGATAACCCCTTAGACATCTTCTAACTCTCACACTCTCTGGGGTTCTCTTTCTAGCTCCCTAAGCTCAAACCTCATTGACTCCCAGGCTCTTGCTTATCAATCTTTAGAAGCAACAAGGATGCTCCCTTGTTCTCATCTTCCTCCTCCTAGTTCCCTTCTCATCCTCTCTGGCCAGGATTTCTAGCTTCCCTTTGTCTAAAGCAGAAGTTCTGAACCTGGAGTCTGCAGATGCTGGGAGAGGGCTGGTCCAGGGACAGGTTTCAGGGGTCCATAAGCAACAGGGACATTGTGGAAGGGAACCAGGGAGATCCCCTCAAACACAGTAGTCTGGGGCCACTCATCCGAGGCAGACGAGCCTGGGCGCCAAACAGCCACCCAATTTAGCTCGTGTGTTGGGCGTGTCCACAGTGGTGACTTTGAGTCATCCAAAAAAGTTAAATTCTTTCCGTTTAAGATGTAAATGTTAGTTATCTCAAGAACTGACACGTGTAGAGGGGTTCTGTATGCCAGAGGTCTGGCTGAACTAGGTCGCCCTCTGAGAACCATGGGTTTTAGTCCGGTAGTGGCTGCAGACATTTTCCAATGAAGAGCTGATAATTGGCTGTAATTTACTTTTTAAAAACTTATTTATTACCTAAACAATACATGTTCATTATGGGACAAATTATAAAATCGAGCTTAACAAAAGAATAAAACAAAAAATTAACTGGAATCAGTCGAGGGTAAGTTTCGTTGTTTGCATTTGTTTCCAGGCCTTCTCTGTAATAAAGGGCACCATTAACCTGAGTGCCTACAGCGACTCAGGCTCTGCTCAAGCACTCTGAATACACATCCCTTTAATCCTCAGGCCGGTCTGTGATTTAACTACCGACAGTGTCACCCTCACAGAAAAGGAAGCAAAGGATCAGAGAGTTGAAGTACTTGTTTAAGGTCACACAGCTGAGAAATGGCAGCACCAGGGCTTGAACCCTGGTCTCTGTACCCCATGGCTGCACCCTTCCTCCCACCCCTCTCCCGGTCCCTTTTGGCAGGGGTGGTGTTTTAGGGCTGGCGGTTGACCTGGGCGCTGGCGACTGCTGAGCCCGGGGATGGTGATGGAAGTAGGCACATTCGGTGGGGCCTGTGACGTGCCTCCCCATGTCGGCACTTTGCAGACATCACCCTTACTAAACCGCAGAACAAAACTTCTTCCCAGGTGAGAGAGCCAATTAAAGAAAGTGGGGTGGTGGTTTTCCCAGGTCTCAGTGTCACCCAGCCTGGGTACCTGGCTCAGCCAAGGCCTTTGTGCCCTGGACACTTTACCAAAAACAAAACAAAGCCCTGTAGGGTGGTTGTCTGAGCCCGCTGTCCCGGGCGGGCCTGACGGAGGCCAGGGCTCACCCGACGGCCTCTCCCCTCCGGCAGGTACGCCTCCACCCTCTCCCTGCCTCGCCTGAAGCCCTCCGAGGCTGGCCGCTACTCCTTCCTGGCCAGGAACGCCGGAGGCGAGGACGCCCTGACCTTTGAGCTCACCCTTCGCTGTGAGTGATGGGGCGGGGGTCGGGGACGTGGGGTCCTCGGGGCTGCCTGGAAAGTCAGGCTGGGAGAGGTTGAGGGTTGGTGGCGAGCGGGCTGAGGGTGAGGTGGTCAGGTGAGGAGACTTGGGGCCTCTGTGCTGACCCCTCCCTCTTCTGCTCCTCCTCCTCTCCTCAGACCCCCCAGAGGTAAAAGTGTCAGGAGCCTTTATCAACGGTTCTGAGGCCCTGTTCTGTGTCGCCTCTGGGTACCCCCAACCCAGTGTAACGTGGCTGCAGTGCAGAGGCCACACGGAAAGGTACATGGGTTCTGCTCGCCTTCCTCACCCAGGTTGAGGGGCTGGGGCAGGGACTGGGCACCCCGAAACTCCGAGCCACACTCTGCTCTTCCCAGATGTGATGAGGCCCAAGTGCCGGTCTTGGAGGACTCACACCCAGAGGTCCTGAGCCAGGAGCCCTTCCACAAAGTGACCATCCAGAGCCTGCTGGCTATTGGGACCTTGGAACACAACAGGACGTATCAGTGCAACGCCCACAACAGCGTGGGGAACAGCTCCCAGGCCTTCTGGTCCCTCTCTGCAAGTGAGTCTTCGGCTTTCCTTCTCCAGGCCAGGACGGGAGGGGCCCCAAGAAACCGCCCCACCCCCAGGGAGCCAGGGCCGGAGTTCCAACGTGGAGCCAAACGAGTCCTACCTCTCTAGGTCCAACTCCAGGCCCTGCTGACCAAAGCACTCCTAAAGCAGCAAGACAGGGGAGGCTAGAACCGGTGGGACCAAAGTGGGAGAAGGCGGGGTGGGGGGGGAAGCAGATTCAAGGCCCAGAGAAAAAAGCAGCCTGAAGCAAACACGGCCGAATCTGGCCCCTCTGCTCATATCGCTGCACTTTAACGCATTCATTAATTCGCAAGTATGTATTTGGCATCTACTGTATGCCAGGGCCTCACTCGCTGCGGGGGAGCAGTACCTCCACGGAGCTTAGATGTGAGGGAGACCGGCAACGACACGTGAACACAGTCCACCCCACCCCAGGGCCAGCCTTGACGGCCTTCTCCATCCCTCCCAGACTCCCTTGCTGCCAGAGACATAGTCCTATCCGTTCGAGGCCACAGTCCGAGAGTGGGGCTGATGTCCAGTCCCGGGCACTAACCCAGGCTGTGTCTGTCTAGAGGAAGGGACGCCTCTCTCTGTGCTGCGCAAAGGCTCCATAGGGGTTAGTTCTCTGATTCTGAGAGGCTCGTGGCTGCAGAGACCCACAGCACCCTTGAGCCTCTGACAAGCAGGTTTCAGCACCCACTGTGTGCCAGGCCCCAGTGAGGCTCTCTGGGCCCACAGAGGACAGAGCAGGAGCCTCCACCCGGCTCAGAGGCGGCCCCTCAGGTGCCCCAGCTGCCGGCCTTGGAGCAACCGCTGCCCTGGCCGACTCCACACGCAGCTGCCTGTGGCTGCTCTCAGTCTCACTGCTGGTGGTTGTATATCAAAAATAACAAAGCCAACATTTTATTGAATGCTCACATTGCGCCAGGCATGGTGCTAAACTCTTCACAGCATTGTCTCAATGAACTGGCACAACCCTGAGAGGTTAGTACCATTTTCCTTCCCACTTTGGAGATGGTGAACCTGAGGCTTGGGGGGAAGTCGCAGGTTTGAAGTCACACACTTTCTAAATGGCAGAGGTGAGATTTGGCCTCAGACCCACGCTGTCGATCTGGGCAAGGTGATGGAGGTTATGTCTTTCAGAACTCATGGAGAGAGCTAGGGTTATTGATCTGGGAAGAGGGGCCCCAGGGGCCAGGAGCCCGGCTTTCAGACCCTCGGAAGAGCTGTGTGTTCCAAAGGACACTCAGGGAAGTGGCAGGGGACCATTGGGAAGGCAGGCTTCAGTCTGACCTGCAGGAGGGCTTCGTGTCTGAGCTGCCCAGAGGTGGAGGTGGTGAACCCCGTCACTGGGGGGGTGGGCAAGCCATGGCGGGCGCTAGGCCAGGCTGCTGCAGAGGCTCCATGCACTGGCAGGGGTGGGGCTGCGTGACCTGAGGGCCTCCTCCAGCCACGGAGGCTGTGACTCCTGTCCGAAGACGGGCTGTCCTCCCTTCTCCTGGCTGGGGGAGGCTCTGCAGGAAGGCTCTCAGAGGCTCTGGGGGCTTCCCGGTGAGAGGACACTCTGTTCAGTCAACAAGCATTTATTGAGCACCTACTGTGTTCCAGGCAGTGCCCTGGCCTGATCTCAGTGGGGGCGGGGGTCTCAGAGGCCCGCTTTGCTGCTCACTGCTCTGCGCCGCCCCTTCCAGGAGCCACCACGCAGTCCCCTGATGAGCCCCTGTTCACGCCGGTGCTGGTGGCTTGCGTGTCCATCATGGCCTTGCTGCTGCTGCTGCTCTTGCTGCTTCTGTACAAGTACAAGCAGGTGAGCCTGGGCAGGGCGGGGGGCAGCCAGGCACGAGTGAGCCCGACCCTGGGACAGCGCCCCCAGGCTGCGCAGATCCACCCTTCGCCCCTGAACACCCACTCATTCTGTCAGTCATTCAGCCAACAGCTCTTTAGTGGGCACCCACTGTATGCCAATGTGAGTGGCTGGGTGCTGGGGGAGCTGAAACTCGGAGCCTCTGAGGCTCTGCCCTCATAGGGTTATGGTCTAGTGCAGGAGACAGCCACCAACCAAATAGCCAGGAAAGTGAGGGCGTGGATTACCCAGTGGAAGATGCTTTGGGGAGAGGAATGGGGTTCCAGGAGAGAGTAAACATGGGATCCTGTCCCCGCTGGGGGCTTCCAGGCACCCAGAGAGGGCATCACGGGGCCAGGCCTGTCTCACCCTCCAGTGGCAGGCAGTCCAGTGGTGGAGGAAGGACTGACCAACATCATCCTCTTCGTTATTTAATATTATTATTAATCAAAGCTGCCCTTTATTGCACGTTGACGTTTAGTGCGCTGCCTGTCACTTTGAGTGCTCAATCAGTGGTAGCAATTTTGGGGGCAGTTTTATGAAGCGTGTTACCTACATCTCACTTAATGCCCTCCACAACCACAGCATGTAGATGGCAGCACTAACTCCATTTTACAGAGTTGGAAGCTGAGGTTCAGACAGTTGCCCTAGTCTACAGCAGGTCAATGCCAGAGGTTTTTAAAAAGCTGTGTTTTTAACCATTATGTGAAATGGAATCATCTTATTTTACCGGAGGCAGGGACTATAGCAGTCAGCAATTTACAATAAGGAAACTGAGGCTCAGCCAGGTTGAAGAACCTGCTTAAGGGTCCCAGGTGCCTCTCCCACCAGAGCCCGCGGCCTCTGCCCCCTAGCCTAGCTGCCCCCCTACACAAGATGATGTCCAGTGTGATCAGACACTGGGAGGGCCAGGCCAGAGGGCTGTGGGAGGCCAGAGGTGGAGGGATCTCTTCCAGCTGGCGGGGAAGGGATCCTGCTTGGAGGAGGTGGTTTGGCATGGGTGGGACAGGCTTGGAGGATGGGGGGTGCAGCAGGGGGAGTTGGAACTCAGGGAAAGGGTCTCTCTGGGGGAGAGGGCAATGTGTGCAAAGGGGCGGGAAGACCAAGCTGGGTTCTGGAAGTATTGGTGCCTGCAAGAAGAGGTGATGTGGGGCCGCTGAGTCGCGAGTCGAGAAAGAATTTTCAGACACGAGCCGCTCGTTCATTTGTGCACCTTTATTTTGTGTTCAGCATGGGGACAGGACCCGTGGGCAGTAAAGAGCTGCAGGGCAAGAGTCTGTGCGGGGTCATTAGATACGATTTTAGCCATTTTACTGTTCTATAGAAATGCCAAAGGAAAAAGCATTAGGTGGTCTGGATAGTCTCAAAGACTAGGGCATGGGGGCGGATGAATGAGACGTGTCCTTGCATTCCAAGGTATGGTATGCCTCAAGGAACACGTAGGCAGGAGATTAAAGTCATTGATCACCTCCTGAGGTAAACTCCTTCGCTCCTAGCCAGAGGCGACTGAGTGGAGTTCTCATGGAACTTGTAAAAAGAGTCATAAACAAGGTTTCGACCACCTCAGAGGCAGGCGGGGGCAGGTTGGGGGTCTGAGGGGTCCGCCCCGTCCTGTAGGCTCAGGGCAGTCCATGAGTGTGAACGAGGGAGTGATGTGAGTTATGGGTGAAAAACCCACCTTGTGGGCCCCTTGCTGCCTTCTCTTCACCACACCTGCGTTAGGGCGTTTAGTGTGAGAAGAAAACCTGGAGGAGACAGGGTGGATGTGATGTGGGGGCGCCCCAGGGGCGCAGGGGCCGGCTCTTTGTGCTCCCGCCAGCACCCAGCATGAAGAGAGTGCAGCCTCCAAGAAACCAGGGCCCCAGGTCAAGACTTGGGGGATCCGGCTCCGGCTCTGACACTGTTTTGTCACATGACCTTGGCTGACTCACTGCCCTCTCTGGTCCTCAGTTTCCCCACCTGTACCATGGGACTGAGTGACCTTTAAGAGCCCTCCTCCTCTGGCGTTGCAAGAACTGATGGTCTGGTTTAAGCTCCGGAGGTTGGGAGATGGACGGATCTGGGTCTGAATCCTGCCTCTGCCAGTCTCCGGCTACGGGACTCTGGGAAAGTTGGTGTCTCTAAGCCTCTGTTTCTCCGTCTGTGAAATGGAGTTAATAATGGTGGCCACCCCACCAGGCTGTCTCGAGGATTCAACGAGGTAACACATGTAGAGGACTCAGGAGGGTGCTGGGCACAGACAGTGCTCAGAATGGAAGCTGCACACCCTCGTCCCAGGAGGAAGTTGACTGGGGAACCCGAGTTAGCTCATGCGTCTTGGGATTGGAGGATGTCTGAGGTTGGGCATCTCCTTGACTACACACCCAAAGTGGTGTTGGGCCCTGCTCGCCCACCTCCAGGGACAGGACCTCACTCGCTCTTGTGGCCGCCTGTTCCTTCTCTGAGCAGCTCTGACGGTTGCAAAGTTCTTCCTTATATGGAGCTGAAAACTGCTTCCCAGTGCCCCACAGAGCTGCTTCCTCGACCCAGGACACCCTGCAGAGATTCCAGAGAAGGGCCCAGTTCCCCTCCAGCCCTCTCGCCTCCGGTGCCCAGCCCCCATAGCCAGCCGCGGTTTAGGGACACCCTTGCTGTCTCTCAGTGGGACCATTTTTAGAACATAGACTCCCAGTCACCTTGTTTCCCATCCAAGAAACTCAGCTGCCCCCTCAGCCTATCCGAGGCCAGGAGGAGGGCATCCCATGGGACAAGACCTTGGGGGGTCAAGATGGTCATGCCCCTGCCTCAGAGCCCTCCGTCCAACTCTCTTCTGCTGTGCCCTATGGGATTCTGAGGCTTGTCCCTTCACTGGGGACTCAGCCTGGCCCACGCTTACTGCCCAGGCCTGGGGTGAGGGGTGGCTTCATCTGGGGGAAGGGTTTTTTCTGCCTCAGGGCTGAATCATCACCTTTCTGGTCCCCAGAGAGACCACAAGCGGGGCTGAGGGGGAAGAGAAAAGGGCAGAAGTCAGCAGGCTGGAAGAAGGAGGGCCACGGGGAGGAAAGGATGAGGCTGGGAGGAGTGAAGGGGATGGGGAGGCCACCGGAGAGGCTGGGATTCTGGGGGTCATAACCGAGCTCTGGGGTCTGGGGGTGTATTGGGGATGGACAAGAGGGTCCCCAAGATTTCCAGTGGGAATTGTTGCAGTCTCTACCTTCCTGAGACAGGGAACATCCACCCGCCCAGAACCAGGAGGCCTAGGTGAGGTGGGTTGCGGGGATTTTGACGTCTCCCTGCCCGCCCTGTCATCAAGGGAAAGTTGGGAATGGGCCTGGGGCCTGGGCCTGTTCCCAGGAATAAAGGAGACGATGCACATGGAGTATGCAGCCCAGCGCCCTGAGCACAGGAAGTGCTCAAGAAGCGCTCACTGCTCTATTTACAATGACTACCACCATTATTAGGAAATCGGGCCGGGGCAGTCCATCCGCACCTCCTGTAGGGGTGCTTCTTCAGAGGAGAGGCTCCTCTGGGTAGGAACCCCCAGGAGCCACACCGAGCCCTTTCCAGGCGTGGCAGAGGCCGCTGGCTCGGGTGGTGAACCAGCAGAGCTGGGCCACCTTCCTGGAGGAGGGGTGGGGATGCCTGAGGTGGGCGGGAGAGAGAGAGCTGCTTCCTCCTCCAGGTGCCGTGATTCAGAGATCCCAGATTCCAGCCAAATGACCTCTTCCTCCTTTGAGCCCCCTCCCTTTCCCCCATATCCCCTGCCTGGCTGGGGACAGGGGTGGGGAGGGGGCTGACTCAGGCCCAGCTGCAGGGGCCAGAGGAAGGAGAAGTGACAAGGAGGAAAAACAGCTTGGCCGCAGAGGCTCCTAGAGATGGAAGTGGCCAGGGGAGGTCAAGGAATCCCCCCCTGGCTCAGGCTCCGTGTTTTGAGTTGGAAAGGCACCCACACACAGGGTTTGAATCCTCCGAGACTCAGAAAGTTCCTCCTCTGTGCCATTTCAGACTCTCCTCCCAAGCCAGAACATGAGTGTTCTCAAGTTTACCTGTAATCTCCCCTCCAGAATCAGAACCCAGAAGTTCTTCCTTATGTCTAACTGCAATCTTTTCTCCCAAACTACCATCTGGAAGTTCTTCCCTGTGGCTATCTAGAGCCTTTTCTCTTAACCTGGAGAGACTTGCAGCCATAGGCCACCCTCCTCCTCAACACCCACTCACATACCCTTCAGCTCCTCCAAGCTGGGTGCCCCATGAAGGAACCCAGCTGCTAAGCACAGCCCAGCTGGTCCCCCTCCCCAAGGGCTGACCGGAAAGAGAGCAGGACTGCTGACCCAAGGCCTTGGTGTGGTCCACCACCCCAGCCCAGCTTCCACTTTTCACCTAAACTCCATCTTCCATCAGCACTTCTCATGGGCACCCCCTGGCATGATGCCCCCATGCAGCTGCCACCCTGAGCAGGAAAGAAAGGCAGCTGTTCCTCCTCCCAGATCTGGCTCCCCTCTGGCCGGCTGGTCGGTAACAGCGTGTAAAGCCGAAGAAGGACTCAGATCCTCCAGACTCTCACTCTCTGTGGGCAGGGCCTCCCCTTCTAGTGTCACAACATAAAGTCAGACATGTCCCTCACCTGCAGCAAGCCCTCAAGGACTCTGGTTGCAGTTGGAAGGGAATCCACTCACTTATTGCATCCCTCAAGACCTTCCTGTCTCTGGAAGTTCCCTGCTCCCCTCAAGCTGCACGGGTGGGCACCTTCTAGTCGCTCAAACTTACCAGGACGTGTCCCACCTCTAGGCCTCTGCATCTGCTCGCTGCGCCTGCAAAGTGCTTCCTCCAAGGGTCACGTGGCTGGCTCCTTCTCACCTCCTTAGAGGCCTTCCCTGACTTGTCTTCAACTGTACCCCTTACTCTCTATCCCATTATCCTGTGTTTCTTCACAGCACAGTTTAGGAATTTCCTACATATATATTTATTTGAGGTGAATGCCTGTCGTAGCCACTAGAATGCTAACTCCATCGGGACAGGGAACTTGTCTTGTTCGGCTCTGAACCAACGGTGCCTGGAATACATAGGTGCTCAGTGAAATATTTGGAAGGGACTATTACACAGCCTTAAAAAAGAAAGGAATTCTGACCCGTGCTACAACGTGGATGAACCTCGAGGACATTATGCTAAGTGAAATAAGCCAGTCACGGAAGAACAAATACTGCATGATTCCACTTACATGAGGTACCTAGAGCAGTCAAATTTATGAGATAAGGGGAATGATGGTGGCCAGGGCCTGGAGGGAGGTGGGAATGGGGACGTGGCCTAATGAGCACGGAGTTTCAGTTTTGCAAGATGAAAAGAGTTCTGGAGGTTGGTTGCACAACGTGAATATACTTAACACTAGTGAACTGTATACTCAAAAATGGTTGAGAGGGTAAATTTTATGTTATGTGTATCTTACCACAATTAAAAATAAAAACAAACACTATTTGGATGAAAGGATGGATGGATGGATGGATCTCAAGTTCCACCCTCCCTCATGGCTCAGGAATTACCAAATTATCAGAGCTGTCAAGGCCCTCAGAGGTGATCCTGTCCAAGTCTTTCCACACACAGGTAGGGAAACTGAGGCTTGGAGAAGGGAAGGTCACACGGTGAGGCCAAGCAGGCAGGGACTGGGCTCTCGGTGCCATGGGCATGAGGTGACATGGCCCCTCTTGCCATGTCTCTGCCTCCTCCCGCAAGTGCCACGGGACTGCCCCCCACCAGCCCTCAGGGGCAGGGATGAGATCCAACAGCCCGGCGCCTGGCTGACACACGCTTCCTCCCCCTTCCTCTGCAGAAGCCCAAGTACCAGGTGCGCTGGAAGATCATCGAGAGCTACGAGGGCAACAGCTACACCTTCATCGACCCCACCCAGCTGCCCTACAACGAGAAGTGGGAGTTCCCCCGAAACAACTTGCAGTTTGGTGAGACAGGGTCTCAGCACCCGCCATGCCCGCCCGTCACGGGGCCTCATGGGCTGCAGGGAGCTGTGGGCCCTTAGAGAAAGGGCCCTTTGGCACCCAGGGCCCTAAGGATCCTGCATGTGCGGCAGGTAAGACCCTCGGAGCTGGCGCCTTTGGGAAGGTGGTAGAGGCCACGGCCTTTGGTCTGGGCAAGGAAGATGCTGTCCTGAAGGTGGCTGTGAAGATGCTGAAGTGTGAGTGAGGCGAGGGGCTTGGGGAATTGGGGGGAGCAGGTGGGAAGTGGTGTATGCTAGAGGAGGGCCTGCCCTGTCGTCACAAGAGGCATCTCTCACATTTTCGGCCTGTCAGAGCCTAGAGAACAGAACCTGGGATTGGGGGCAAAGACTCCTGGATTCCTGGGTGTGGAGGGGCTTCTGACTGAGCCCCAAAGAGGCTGGGGTGCACAGAGGCCACCCTGGGCCATGGTCTGGCCACAGTTTGGCTTCCTGCCCCCCGAGGCCAGCTCAGTGAATGTCCATCTCTCCTCTCTCTCTCCCTAACTCCCATCTGTGTGTCCACATTTCTCCTCTCCCTCTTTTGGCCTTGAATGGTTTTGGGGCTCTGGGTACCCCCTGCTTGCTCCCCTGGGCGTCTCCTGTCTGTCTGTGTGGCTCTGCGTGTCCTGTGGCCCCATCTCGTAGCCACGGCTCACGCTGACGAGAAAGAGGCCCTCATGTCAGAACTGAAGATCATGAGTCACCTGGGCCAGCACGAGAACATAGTCAACCTTCTGGGAGCCTGCACCCATGGAGGTGAGGGGCCCTGCAGGCATGGGGGTCCATGGTCCTGGGGCCTCTTGGGCATCTGAGGGCCCAGGACCACCTCACTCCCTCTTCCACTGCCCATCTCCTCCGAGTGAAGGAGGATCCCTGTCTCAGCATCCCATAAATTCCGAGGCCAGACTCCTGGACTGGTCAGAAGCTGCTTATGGATGATGGACAGTTCTGTGAGCTCTGTCAGTGGCTCTCAGACCTCGGCGCACATCGGGGTCACCCGGAGAAGGAGATAAGAGGGCAGATCCCTGGGCCCTGCTGCAGGGAGTCTGACTCTGTGGGTCTGGAGTGAAGCCCCCAAATCTACCTTTTAAGAAGCCCCCACCCAAAGGTGCTTGGACACACCGCAGGGTCCACAGAGGTGCCCCAGGCCCGTTGGGACTCCGAGCCTGCCCCATCCTCTTCTACAGCAGCTTTGACCTATATGGAACTGCCATAGATTTCCTTTGTAGAAAGAACGCTTTGGCTACGATTTTTTTGAAATTCCTCTGTCTTAGACAGATGGGGTCACTGAGGCATGAAAGCAGAGAAAGCTGCTCACAGTCAGGATTAGAACTTGGGCCTTCTGATTCCAGTCCAGGGTACCTCTGCCCCCACCCCATGTTCCTATTCACATGGGGATAGTTAAGGGGTGCGCTCACCCCACTCTCTTCACTACTCTAGGCCCTGTCCTGGTCATCACTGAGTACTGTTGCTATGGCGACCTGCTCAACTTTCTGCGAAGAAAGGCTGAGGCCATGCTGGGACCAAGCCTGAGTCCGGGCCAGGACCTTCAGGCAGGCACCGGCTACAAGAACATCCACCTGGAGAAGAAATACGTCCGCAGGTAGTGCCCTGGCAAAGGACAGGAAGGAGGCCAGGACTGGGAGGTGGGGGCCCAGGTCTGTACCCAAAGCCAGCTCAGGGTTGAGTGGCTGGGTGACCCTCACATTCCCATAGGCGCCAGGGGCAATAGAGATCCCAGATTATACAGGCAACTCGTTTTTCTACTATTGTTCCCATCTTCCAACAAATATTTGAGCACCTGCTATGTTCTGGGAGTATTGAGGCAAAGATGGGCAGCTCACAGTCTGGTGGAGGCAGGAGTTAATGAAATCCTCACTTTCACCTATGTGAAAGAGCAACCAAGATCCGCTCTGGGGCCCGACCCAGAGATGGGCAGGTCTGGGGGTAATCGCCCTGTTTCTCCCATAGCACGTGCTAGCCGGGGCTGCAGACAACCCATTCTGCTTAGAAGTAGACAATGTCAGGTCCCCACATTGCCACAGAGAAGTGGGTACAGAATCTGGTGATTGTTGGGTGAGAAGGGGCAAAACAGCATGACTGTGGCCAGGTTCCTGGTTCACTTGTGCCTCAGTTTCCCCAGGCGAGCCATCACGGGGTTGAACCTCTCAGGGTCTTTCCTACTGTTTTTCTGTAATGCTGTGATTCCTGGAAGCCACCCAGGCAGATGGACAGAGCCACATGGGGAACCAGAGAAAGGAAGTGGGCAGTTTCGTGTCACACATGAGTCAGGGGCAGAGGCGGAGGGTGGGCTAGAAGTCTGCTCTCTCGACTCCTGGTCCAGTACTCACCTGAGCCACACTGCTCTCCTGGAAGTCTCAGTCTTGGGGCTTGTGTGGTCTCGGAGCCAGGCCACTGGGGGCCGGGACAGGATCAGAACAAGAAGGGTGTACACTGGGCCCCTATCCTAGCCACTGCCAGCTCCCAAGCCTGGGGAGGCAAAAGGGGAAGGACAGCATTTCACTCTATCCAGTGTCCTTGAACATGGGGGCTGGCAGGATCCGCTTCCTCTTTCGATTCTCTGACTCCCGAGAGAGCAGCTCATAGTGGGCCTCCGCAGGCTAGAGACTCAGGCCAGATCAAATCAAAATGAAAACCAAAGTAAAGTATTAGCTTCCATCCTCACATCTGCAGATGGAAAAAGGATTCATGAAGTGGGGCGAGTTCAAGGGCAAATGGCATGTGAACCAATCCTGCCAACGGGATCCCAGGCTACATTAATAGAAGTATAGTTTCTAGAACAAGGGAAGAGATGGTTTTGCCATGGTCAGACCATAAATAAAACACTAGGTTCTCTTTCTGGTTCCTGCTCTTCCCTGCTGAGTGGCTGGGAGAGGCCATGGGGTGGCCGGAGGTCGAGGTCTGAGCTCGGCAGTGCCGTGATGGGGACTGACTAGTCCTCAGCCTTCTCTCCTCTGTAGGGACAGTGGCTTCTCCAGCCAGGGTGTGGACACCTATGTGGAGATGAGGCCTGTCTCCACTTCTTCTTCAAACGACTCCTTCTCTGAGCAAGGTGAGGAGGTACCAGCATGGGAGAGAGGGGAGGGGCTTCTGGGGGCTGGACAGGGAGGGGCAGGGGTGTGAAGGGCTGCCCTGATGCCTCTCCCTGTGCCAGAGCTGGACAAGGAAGACGGGTGGCCGCTGGAGCTGCAGGACCTGCTCCACTTCTCGAGCCAGGTGGCCCAGGGCATGGCCTTCCTTGCTTCTAAGAACGTGAGTCCGGAACTGGGTCCCCCCACGTGGTCACCAGGGAGGCGGGGGGGCAGCTGAACCCCCATGAGGCTAGACGAGTGAGGATGAGAGGGAGGAAGGGGGGGGCATGTGAAGGGGCAAGGGAGGAGCCGGACTGCCAGAGAGCCAGTGGGCAGTGGCCCCCCAGCCTCCAGGCTTGTGCCTCAAAGGGCTTCAGGAGTGAGTGGGAGAAAGCTGTGCCTTAGAGTTCCTCCAAGAGGGCACAAGCCCCATCACCCGTTCCCCTGGTGTGCAGCAGGCTGCGAGGAAACCATTTCCAAGAACAGGCTTTATTGCTTCATTTTTAGTCATCAGTGTGAACAAGACAACCGTTGTGTCCCCTCACGAAACACAGAGAGTCATGGGGATAACAGAACCTTTCTCAGAGCTGTGAGGACGTGAGATGACATGCACAGTACACTCAGCCCAGGAGGAAGGGCCCAGGCGGTGGGAGCTGTGACCATCCTCCTTACAGCATGGACTGGGGAGTCCAGAGTTTGATTGCTGGCTCTGCCACTTGCCATGTGACTTTGAGCAACTATTGAAATTCTCTGAGCCTCAGTTTCTACACCTATAAAAATGGGCACAACCCCAGGATTGTTTGAGAGCAAACATGGTTCCAGTGTGTGCAGATGCTTAGGGAAGGGCCTGGCCCATAGGGCCTTGAAGGTGGCAGCTGCTATTAGTAGTAGTAACCCACGTGGGCCAGAGACTCTCATAGCTCCAGGGTTCATGTCTTCTGGGCCCCGGGCTGACGGCCTGGCTCGAAGTCAGCTCCTCTGCTCAGGGCCAGGGGGCCAGTGATGGTAGTTTCTGAACACTGAATTGTCTGTCCACATTGAATTTTCTCAGATCTGGGTCCTGGTAGAAGGTAGGGACAGGAGTCAGGGTACAGGACCAAAACTGACGCCCACTCCCTCAATGAGGACCCCAGGCCTTCTGGGGCCCTGGCTGCTCCTCCTGCACCTCGGCTCAGGTAGGGAAGAGGCCGAGACTAACTCTGCTTTGCCTCCCTCAGTGCATCCACCGGGACGTGGCGGCCCGAAATGTGCTGCTGACCAGTGGGCGTGTGGCCAAGATTGGGGACTTTGGGCTGGCTAGGGACATCATGAATGACTCCAACTACATCGTCAAGGGCAATGTGAGTGCTGGGAGAGGTGGGCCAGGCTGGGGAGGGGGCGGTGAGCCAGGGTCCAAGGTGACTGGGGTCTGCCGTGCCAGGCCCGCCTGCCCGTGAAGTGGATGGCTCCGGAGAGCATCTTTGACTGCGTCTACACTGTTCAGAGTGACGTCTGGTCCTACGGCATCCTCCTCTGGGAGATCTTCTCACTCGGTGAGCCGCTGGCCCAGTGCAGGCTCAGCCTGGGGCTGACTCGTGTTTGGCTACCCACAGTGTCCTATACCTCGTGGAAGATGCTAGTCAAGGATGATTGGTGCCCAGGGCAGAGCAAGGGCTGGTGGGAGTGAAGGGATGAGCAAGGCATCTTAAAACCTAGCATCGCAGCTCCTGCGTGGGCTGGCAGACCTTCCACGCCGAAAGGCACTCCTTTGGGGCTGTTCCTTCATCTGCCTGCTTGTGCAGTTGCTGCCTTTTAGAATACTCTTTCCCCTCGTCTGAGATGTGCATAGCCTTCAAGACGCAGCTCCCATTTCTGAAGTCCTAGGCACAGGAACTCGAGCTAAGCCTTTCAATGCACTTCTCTAACCACTTATTCCAAAGCCCATGATGGAATTCTCTGTGTGATGAGTCCTGGGTGAAGGCTCTCAACTTCCTAGAAGCCTAAGCCTTTTGCAGCGCCCAGCACACAGTAAGCGCTCGTTAGAAGGAGCTGCTGTTCTCTTATCATGGTCCAGGTGGGACCCTCTGCACCCAGCCTCACCACCGTGTGTCTGGGTATGGGGGAAGGTGAAGTGAGCAGAGCATGGTCTCTTACATGATCCTGGCCTTTGCAGGGCTGAACCCCTACCCTGGCATCCTGGTGAACAGCAAGTTCTATAAACTGGTGAAGGATGGATACCAAATGGCCCAGCCTGCGTTCGCCCCAAAGAACATGTAAGTGAAGGGCCCGAGGATGAAGGAGGACACCCCAGGCTTTGGCTGAAGGAGCTGAAACAGCGCTGTGGCCCTAGTCTTCGTCCACAACGTTCCAGGGCCAGGCTGCATCTCCTCCACCGTAGACTAAACAAGCCCCTTTATGAGTTCAGTGTTTCCACTGGTTTCCCAGGTAGCACAGAGAATAATCTCAGAGAAGAGAGCTCTTAACTGGGGCTGGTCGTAACTCAGATGATGGATTTTTAACTCAGACTGTTATTATGACCTGAAAGAAGGCTCCTCTCATTCCTTCTGTCCTGGTGATCTGTGGTGTCCGCCAGCCTTTCAATCAGTGTAGCCGCCAGCCAGTGCAGCCTCTCAACCACCTCACTACCGCCGGCCCACCATGAGCTACTCACTGGCTCTCTGCCCTTACCACAGCCTCTCCAGGGCCAGCCGGCCGTGAATTCACCCACGGCCTCTCTCCCCAGCCACTCTCTCGACACAGCCGCTCCCTGTTCCCACTCAGGCGCTCACTGCCGAGATGGATCCACCCAGCCGGCTGACCAGCCCCTCAGCCCCTGCAGCCCTCCTGCCACTTTAGTCTCTTGCTACAGCCAACCAGCTACTCTCCTCTCAGCCCTCCTCTCAAACCCACCTGCAGGCAACAAGAGTGCCCCTTCTGAGTTCTAAGAGCTTGGGCAAGACAGCATCTCTGAGCTGCTTCTCCCCTCAGTTGTCAAAATAGGCACAATGAAAATACCTTTCTCCAAAGGTTACTGGGAAGATCACGTGAGATAATGCACACCAAATCTTGTGCTAAGCTCATTCTGACTAGGTTTTGGGATCTCTGCTGGGCAGGACTGTAGCGTGTGTATATGTAATGATCTCCAGACCCAGAGGCAGTTCTGTCCTCTCTCAGATACAGCATCATGCAGGCCTGCTGGGCCCTGGAGCCCACCCGCAGACCCACCTTCCAGCAGATCTGCTCCTTCCTTCAGGAGCAGGCCCAAGTGGACAGGAGAGAGCAGGTGAGTGGGGCCAGGCTCAGGGCGGGTGGCCGGCTAAAGCTGGTGGGCTGGGCCTGACCACCCCTGGCCTCTCCCCCGCTCTCAGGACTACACCAACCTGCCCAGCAGCAGCAGCAGCAGCGAGCCGGAGGAAGAGAGCTCCAGCGAGCACCTTGCCTGCTGTGAGCAAGGGGACATTGCCCAGCCCCTGCTGCAGCCCAACAACTACCAGTTCTGCTGAAGAGGTGACAACAGGGAAGCCCTGCTCTCCCCTCCTCTAAGCTTCAACTCCTCCGTGGATGGGGCACCATGGGGAGAACATACAGACTCTGCCCTTGATCAATTCACTCAACAGCCTGGTCCAGCTTTGAAACTCAGGAACATGGGATCCACGGGAGGTCAGAGAGGACCCCGCTTCCAGGGCTGGGCCATCACTGCCAGTCAGGGGCTGGGGCTGAGGCCCCCCCGCCCACTGTTCTCAATGCTATTGGTCTCACGTTCGCTATGCCAACTGGGAGAACCTCCATCTCACTCTCTTAACTTCGTTCCCACTTTCAGGACCCCCCTTGCCCACTCCCCTCGTGTCTCAATGGAAATGGACAGTCCCTTGGAGCTTCCCTAACATTAAGGAAACAAGGTTCCTTAGGCCTTGGCAGAGTGAGGGACCCTCTCTCACCGAGTGGAGCAGCAAGAACGGACAGATGGTCAGAGGCTGCGTTTGGCTCAGCTCCCTCGGAGAAGAGTGGCTCCTTTGTAAGAATCTCACCGTCTAGTCTGTGCCCTCTAGCCCTCTTCTCTCCACAGCCCCACCCCGCCCTGGATCTCGTACTGCTATAATGAGCCAGGTGGCAGCTAAAGTTCGGAGTGTTCTGCCCAGTCTCCCACCACTCTGAGCTGGAAGGCAGGGCCACACCAAGCAAGCAGCACATACTTCCCCAAGTTGACTCCTCATCACTAACCGCCACGCTGCGGGACGTCTCGGTCAACATTAAACTAACAGTGTTAACACAGCCGGCCTCTGGTTCTTTGTGCCACCTGAGGGCCCGCGGACCCCTGGGGCCTCCTTCCAGTCCTCCCTTGTGTCGAGTGACCAGCTCAGCGCCTCTGGGGCTCAATCACACTCTGCCCCACACACTAAGCATGGAACCGACGCTTGCTTCACCAAAACCAGATAATTTAATAAACTTTATTCTTGTCAGGGGAAGAGGGAGGGGAACAAACCACCTACTCCACTCCTCTCAATAAATTAAATAACACACGGCCAATTCCCGTGCCCTAAGCAAACCTCAGGCACTCAAGCCAGTCCCGCTGCTTCCTTACAGCCCAGTCTGCTTCCCCTTCACAGAAGGGAGTTTTTCCTACTGCCGCCAGGTTGTCATGCCCACGGGCCACATCCCCTCTGTGGTGAGGGTCCAGTGCCCAGAGAGGATATAGGGTGCAGCAGCAGTGGCCAGGGAAAGGAGGAAGGGATCCTCTTCCTCAAAGCTTGGGGCAGAGAGGATAGTCCTGCAAGACAGCTGTGGCCAACTTCCTCCCTCCTCAGCTTCCCCCAGATTTGGGTGCAGGAAGAGCAGGAGGAAAATACATTCCTCCTCTGGGAGAATCGAGACCCCGAAGGGACCCCTAGAGCTAATGAGGAGCCCGAGTCAAAGGCAACAGACTAAAGAACTCATGTAGCTGCAGGGGCTGGAAACAGCGTTCTCCAGGGGTGGGAAAGGATACCTCAGCAGCCCACCTAACGCCAGACGCACCCAAGGACCTCCACCATGACCCGCAGCAGGCCTCATGGAAGCCACCTGCTGCCAGCCTTCCCTCAGCCTCCCTTCCCCTCTGTTGAACACACATGCCCACCAAGTGCTCTCCCAGGGCTAGTAAGGAGTGTCCTGGTGCCTCTCCCGACCCCCAGAAGGCTAAGAACCAAGGCCCCGGGGCCCCACTGTGCTCAGGAAATGGAAGCTCTTTGGTCAGTCCCAGCATCAGAGGCCCTCCCCACAGGTGAACTCTCCCGCTGGTCCCCTGGATGGATATGCCTCGGGTGAGGGCCCCATTATGGCTTGAGAGAGACGGTGCAGTCCCTGTACAAAGCCTGGCTTATTCTGCCGCTGCAGCCACCTCCTCTTCCTCACCCTCCTCCTCTGTCTCCGTCTTGATCTGAGCAACCCCGAGGCGGTAGAGGGTGTCGCGGATGACCACCTCACCAGGCTGGCAGCTCTGCACAATGTCGTGGATCTGCCGGTTGACAATTTCGCGGCTGGTGAGGAAATCCATGAGGCGGTTGTAGAGGTAATAGTGGGTGGCATTGTCAAAGGCGATGGGCCGCTGGCGAACGCTGTTCAGTTTGCTGTCTGCACTAGAGGCCAGGATGGCTGAGTAGGGTGCCAACTCAGGGCACAGCGCCAAGGAGTGGTGCCCAGCACTGGGGTCATCGGGACTGGGCTGTGTGCCTGCATGGACGATGCGCCGTGTGGCAGTCTTGGTGACGGGATGCTGGAAGGAGTGCTCAGCCTCCATCATATCCACGGTATAATGCTGGTCCAAGAGTTCTGGGCAGGACACACTCTAGGAGAGAGATAAGCAGCCACTTTGACCTGAGGGAACGACTAAGGCAGAACCTGTGTGGTGCGTGAGAGTGAAGGCTGTGGGTCAGCTCACCCTGTTTAAATCCTCACATCACCCCCATATCGCATCTCCTGGGGCAAGTCCCCAATCCTCCTCCTCTGTGCCCTGGTCTCCTCCTGTGAGGACGGGATAGTAAGAGCGGCCACCTCCCAGAGCAGATGCTGGATTACCTTGGCTGATACTATTACCTGGCCCAGTCAATCCAGGCTGGGGCCACAGGGGAGACGGGAGAGGGGGACGTGGCTCCCGTGGAGGCTCCGACGCCTTTCTGCAGTGCCCAGCACAAGCTCACAGAGCCAGTGAGCCCCAGGGAATAAGGAAAAGGTGAGTGATAACAATCATGCCCCCTTCCTCCTATCACCAGTCCTAACATCTCTTCCAGCCAAGGGCATGCTGGCCTCAGAGGGCATGTGCCTCTGGTAAGAACCATTGCCTGGTATGATGTACCAAGACACAGAGACAAAGGCTCTGCCACTAATCTGTTGTGTGACACTGGACAAGTCCATTTCCTTCTCTGGGCCTTACTTTCCCCCTTTAATAAAAGGAGAGGGTTGGATAAGGTGAGTGTTTTCTAAGCTGCTGTGCCTCTAGATCACAATAGGCATGCCAAGCAGTATATGCATGGTTAAATCCAAGACAGGGCTGGTCCAGGCCTTTAATACGTCAGCATGCACGATGTCTCTCAAAGGTGGCAATCTTCTAGACTTATCTAGAAGGCGCCCCCTGTGACCCCAAGATTTGGGATACCCTGGGCACTGCCATGCTGTGGGGAGAGAGGGGGAGAGAGGGGGAGAGAGGGAGAGAGAGGGAGAG